CTGTGAAACTCTCTACGAGTATGCAGGGTGTCTACGAGAAAGCAACCAGGAGAATTGTAAGCCTGTTTAAAGCTGCACTTTTTAAGACAGTAGGAAAAGTAGAGCCAGCTTTTCTTATTGTATCTCTTGCAGCAAAGAGCTAGATGTAGCAATCTCATGTCATCTTCTTATTTTTCTCTGCACAGAAATGGTTTCCATCACAAATGAAAATGTTACACAATTTTACAACATCATGGCCACCCAGGAGCTCACAGTCAGTCTGGCGAATTTCCACAATAATTCAGGAGTGCATCAGCTCAATCAATGTATTAGTTCAGATGTATGGAAATGGCTACAGGATTTTCAGCCTGCATTCCTCTGGTTTATATTTATTCTGGGAGCAATAGAAAATTCCTTTGTCCTCATCGTCCTGTGCTTCCACAAGAGTTGCTGTTCAGTGGCTGAAATTTACCTGGCAAACATGGCATTTGCTGACCTGATGTTAGTCTGTGTTTTACCCTTCTGGGCCATTAATATTTCTAATAACTACCATTGGCCTTTTGGCCTGTTCCTCTGCAAAGCTGTCAACATAATGAGTAACATGAACTTTTATTCTAGTATTTATTTCCTGACACTAGTGAGCATCGACCGCTATCTGGCCTTGGTGAAAACCATGTCTCTTGGACGGATGCGACGTACTGTCTGTGCCAAATGGAATAGCTTCATAGTCTGGACATGTGCGTTGCTCATATGTTCACCTACAATGATGTTCAGAAATTTAGAGTATTACAAAGAATACAACATAACAGCCTGCCTTCTTGTTTATCCAGCCAGCTACTGGGTGCCTGCAAACAACTGTTTGCTTAATATTGTGGGGTTTGTGATCCCGCTCTGTGTAATTACCTATTGCACTACGGAAATCATCAAAGCCCTGCGAAGCAGTGAGCTACAAAAACAGAAGTTAGTCCAGACAGAGAGGAAAGCCACCATGCTGGTCCTTGCTGTGCTCTTGCTGTTCATCTTTTGCTGGCTTCCATTCCAGATCAGCACATTCATCGACACAATCCATTACTTCATGCCTACTTGGAAATGCCTGGAAGACATCAATGACGTAGTGACTCAGGTAGCTACGTACTGTGCCTTTAGCAACAGCTGCCTGAACCCAGTCCTGTATGTAATAGTTGGGAAGCACTTCCAGAAGAAGGCTGCAGAATTCTACAAAGACTTGTTCCCAAAGAGCTGCAGAAAATCACGGTCTGTACAGACGGAAAACTCCCTGGACACTTTAAGAACTTCCATTTCAAGTGAATATCCAAGGAAAAAGTCTGTTTTCCCATTACCACAATAGCACAATTTGTTCTTTACATGAAAAAAGCCTTGTAACAGATCAGTCTCCACTAATATCCATCTGCTACTGGTCCACAATATAAACATGTGGTGGTATTCATCATTTGTGGGAAACCAACAGTTTGATCTTAATGGAAACTCCATACAGAGACCTACTTCTAATGTTATTGGACATTTTTCATGGTTGAATTCTACTTTGTAGCATATTTACATTTTCATGGCTGAATAATATTTGATGCATGTATCATTTGAAATGTTTGCATTTCTAAGGTGTACATATAGTTCTCTGAACAGAGCCCTAGTATAAAAGCTGTCGTCAGGATTGTGCAACTACTTATGGTACCCATACAGTTTGTTAGACTGGATTTTTGATAGGAGGGGCTTGTTTCTGAGTACATTCTGGTAAATGAATCCTGTGGGACTATTATTCAAGTCGATTTTTAGGTGTGGCCATCTTCTGGGCTTTTATTTTCTCCGTTCAGTGATCCAAAACCATTTTGATTGTTTGATTGATAAGCTGTGCCTTTTTGCAACTGCTCTGCTCCAGGCTTACATCAGCTTGTATGTATGGAAAATAGCTCAAAAAAGATAAAGCAGCAGTGGAAGGATGGCTGCAGCCAGCTGCATGAGTTTTCTTTGTAGCAGGAGGTTCTTCACCCCTTCTCTGTGGGGATAAAAGCATTCACTCACTCCTTTTGAGTGAGTAAATGTTATTTACATTCATACCTACGCTTCAGCTCAGAGACTTAGTTTGCAATATTTACAAAGCATAATAAATATTTGTAATGTTACTTAATGGAAACATAAGAGCTCAGCACTACTGGTATAATCTCACAAGTAGAAGAAACAGAATATGAAGAAAGCATCACCTAACTGCCTTAGAAATCTAACTGAAGCTAATAGGAGTCTTGAAAGTTCAGAGTGTTCAAGAATGGCCTTTTCAAACTCTAGTAATACCTACATTTTGTTTGCAGAGTTAGTCTGAGTGATTTTAAGACAAGATAGCTTTCCCCCAATTGGACCGGATTTATAATCTGAGTTGAGTTTACACAGAAGAAAAACTCGTAGTGTACTGAATTGTCAGTATGCACTTTTAACTCTATGAATCTTGATCAAAAACTGACTTGGAGATGATATAAAATATTCTGAAACTAACAAAGTCTTTGTCGTCTTCAAACCACTTAAGGTTACGGCCTTAAAACCACCAAGGGAAACAGAGTTTGGTGACAAAAGTAAACTCAGACTGTTACTGCGTGGTCTTTATTTGTCAGAGCTTGAATGGAGCAATAAAGCTTCATGTAAGATGGGAAATTGGTATTAAACCTTCAAATAATTAAACCTAATAATATCCAGAAATGTGCGGATGTGCTATAAAAACTATGGGACTTAGATCACTGTAGATGATTTATAGATAATTTCCATAGGTTTTATTTAATAACCGAGTATAATCCTATGTCATAAATACTTCTATTGTTCATTCTTTATATTGTCCAAGACACCCATGACAAGACACTGCAAGGCTTTCTGTTATCTCCGGTGGTACCAATACTGTCTCATTCATGAGCATGCTGTTCGTACAACCGTTAAATAAAAGGAACTCCACACAGAGGTTATTGAGGCAATGGAAGGGATTTTTGAGTATTTGGTACTGAGAAGTGAAATGTAACGTTATTATATTAATATGACATTAATTTATATCATGTAAATATATAGATACATTATTTTGCTATGCAGTAAACATATACAACAGAAAATAAACTACTTTAAGAAATGAGATTTGCTGACATTTTCTTCTCTAGCCCATATCCTGTTACTCAGGGATGACTTGTCAAAAGCCCAACTGTTGCAGGTACTTTCCTTTACTCCCCATTGTACCAAAGGAAAGTGAGCCAAAATCACAGAATTTTAGCTACTCTCAAAGCTTTGGATTAGCTTTCTTTTCAGGACCCGTTTCTGAGCAGCGCTGACCACCCTCAGTCCCTTTGGAAGTTAAAATCTGAATTAAGGCAGATAAGGATACTGAAATTTTCTCAGTAGTTTTTCTCTGCCTGCTGGTAGCTCAAGGTTCCATGAAATAGCAGATAATATTTTTCTTTGTGAGGGGTACACAAGAGCCTATAGGTGCTGTTTGCAGGGTGGAGACTCTGCCTAAAGCCTTGATTCTTCTCTCATCTCATACAGACACCAGAAGCAATGGAAAGCCTCTGTGCCAGCCTCTGCAGACCACAGAATGCTCCCCATTTGGGCTCACAAACCATTTAATTGTTCTTGCCCACTTTCCAGCATGATCGCACATTGTGCAGTATTGGCACATTACGCAGGTGACAAAAAAAAACCCAGGAAATAAAGAGCAATGTCCAAGCTACATCTTACCTACTGGCAGTTTGCAATCCCACTCAGACGCTTGGCTCTGTCCTGTTCTCACAGAAATTAGGCAAAACATGCAAAGAGTTCTTGGTAAAACGAGGGCAGACTTTGTCCTGAGGATCACAGAGCTGGAGACGTCAAGCTGGAATCACATCACCTTTTCATTCTCTTTATCCTGTCCCCAACCCTCAGCTGCTCCCGTCTTCCCTCTTACCCGAAGCTTCCACCTCCTTTATCTAGACTTCGTCCACACAAATGGCTGACTCCGCATTCAGTCCAACAGAGGTAGCCGGGGAGCATTGCCAGAGGAACAGCAAGGATATCAACAGCCCATTGATATTTCTGGCTTAGGTATGGGCAGGAATAATTCTCATCTCTTCACCATCAGTTTTTTCAGGTTGATTATTGGCTTCACTTAAAACGCAAAATTAACGATCTTAAAAGCTGTTAGCACAAACATCTGGTGCTTGCTGTGGACAGGACAAGGTTGCTCTTTTTTAGCCAGAGCTTCTGTGGAGAAGTCAGGATCTCAGTTCAAGTCTCCCAAATCCCCAAGCAGTACTTTAGCCATTGAATCACGCTTTCACTCCAGTCTTCCATCGGCACCTTGTGTGTTTCCAGCCTATATTTGCTCCTCCATATTTTGCTGTTTCAGCCTCTGCAAACCGTAGTTGGTAGGGCTTGATTATTACTGCATTGTGATGCTACCAGAATCATTTATTAGGAATAGTAAATCACTGCACCAGAGTTTAAACTCTCCTTAGCAACTGCTTTCTATAGTATAAGCAAAGAAATCCAACCAAGCTGAACAAAGAATTTTACCTCACAATGTTCTATCAAAAAACTTTTCTCTTGCTCCAGAATAGCAGATAACTACATTGATTTGCAAACCATTTCAATAAAAAAAATCAAACTGTTAAATCATACTGTTCCAAAAAGATAATTTATTCAGATCATTAAAGGCCCCAGCTATGTTAAGAGGAAGATTTTTAATGGCCAAACTATTGGACCAAGAGGCAGATCTCTGGAGACTTTTTTAATCTCTGCCATTTGTCTACCACATAACGTATGTAATAATTGAGCAAACAGTCTTACCTCCACCTTCACCAACATATTTGTTTAACCTTTCTGATCAGAGAGGCCCAGTTAGGATTTGTAAGTTCCTGTGCAGCTCAAGAGAATGTGTACTTTGTGCAGGAAAGTCAACACAGACAGAGTGGCTGAAGATCATACAAGCTTAAAACATAAACTGCGCTGTGAGTATCCCGAGTTGAAGGCATCAATAGAAAAATACGTTTTAATTATGTATACACAGCGAAAACCTTTTAACTGCTAATTCTTACATAGATGTTTTTAAACTAAATCTTTCACATTCCTTTTAATTTGCGGTCCATTAAATCGGTGCAAACTGTAAAATGTTATCAAATCATTATATGTTTTCTACAGGTTGAAATGAAGACCCACGTTGCAAAGAAATAATAAATTAAGTCTCCTTCCGTATAAAGTTACAGCTTCTTATGTGGACTTGTTCTAAGTTGTTTAAGAGCTGGAGCTACAGCAGTGCTACTCTAATAGCCTTATTATTTCCACCAAGTGTACAGACTCCCAATTTCGAATCTCTCTCCACTGCTGAAAAAAGTTCAAAAGATGGTAGTGAAAAAATACAGAAAATAAGAATCTAGATTTACAAAGAGGAGTTGGATTTGCAAACTAATATTTTCATCCCATTTTTAAGTGATGAGTTTCGTAAGACTGTTATTTATTGTATAAATTTTAGATGCAGCTGCAGTTTTCTGTTTGGAATCTGTGAGTAAATGTGGATGTTGGCGGCTCTTACAGATTCATGTCCAAGCAAGGATGAATTCCAGACTTCTTGTTATTGCTCAAATGTTCTTCTTTATGGAAAAAATAACTTCAACATAGAAATGCATTAGCGTAATCAAAGAGGAAGTTTTGGAAAGTCTGTGACGAAGATCTCCTGTTGTATTGCACTTACCTTAATGAGTCAGCTTGGGATGCGTTGTTTAGAAATTAATCTCCCATAGATTATTAGAATTCCCTAGATAACATGTAATTCAAAAAATGTTGTGTTTCAGGTCTTCAGCAAAATAAAAATGTTTTGATCAAGATATTAAAAAAAAATTTGAAATAAGTGAAGTACGTAGCTTCATTTGAGATGTATTTTTTAACACTGTTGTGTTTATTTAATAAAATAAGTAAATGTTTAAATAGGATGTTATTTAAATAAAAGAAGTATTTATACATTTTAAATCTTCAAATTAAGCGTTGAGTTCTTTAGTGTTTTCTTCAGGATGGTGGTGTTAACCAGAAAAAATTTTTGAATTTGTCAGTTTTACCAGTGTTTGCATAACTCTAATTTAGTATATTTTAACTACTAAAAAGTTGGAATTAAAATATTTGCCATGATGATAGGGAATTTCATAATAAGATATCACTGTGCATGCTCTCATGGCTTTTCATTTTAACTCACTTATCAAACAAGAATGGACACAGTCGAATAACAATTCAGAGAGACAATGCATGTGTTGAGTAGGTAGCCAAAGGGAAGAATGTTTTCATGTAAGTAAATAACATTCCAATCCCTTGATAATTTCTCATTGGTTTTAAAAAGAA